TGTTCTCTCGTCTCGACGAGAAGGCGCTTCTCTCGCTTATGAGAGCCTTTCTCTTGTCTCTTGTTTCTCTCGTGATAATACAATATCAAATTTAAATTTGAAAAAGACGAAACATGAAAAAACGGTAAAATTTGTAAGACAAAAACAAAGAATTTTTCAAGTAATTTGCGCTTTAGTAATAAGAAACACTTATGTCTCTCTGTCGGTCCGTCTGTCACAGTTGTTTTACAATTGAAATTTGAAGTAATAGGTGGCCCAGATAGGCGTTAACTAAAAACGAAAATACTTTGTCTTGTAAGTCAGTTGGAGAGGGGGGAAGAAGTTAAATTGGAAGTTAGAATTTTTCTAATGCAATCCTACGATGTCAAATGAAAGTATTTTGTAGTATGTTTTCAAAATGCAAGAAGATAAAACTAAAATGATGTGAAATTAGAGAAACATGATATTTTTGATATAATGAAATGCACTTTACTTGAGACGTAAAATTAAATTTTCTAATGGAAAGTAAAGTCATTTAATACCTCATTTGAAAGATATTTTGATTATATTTACGTCCAAGCAAACAGTTTTAATTTTTCTTTGTTTTTAGAAAAATTACATTCTTGATAATCCTCGTGTACCGCAATAATCCTAGAAATGTTAAATAATATCAGAAGATAATTTTTTAATAATCTTTTTTTTTGCCAAGAAATTATGAAAAATTTAATACGTCAAGTGGTTTTTAAATCACCTATGATGTTCTTAATTTATTTATTTTAGTAAATACAAAAAGCGTTTTCTTAGTAATAAACAATAATTGTTAATACAAGAGTTATCAAGAATGTAACTTATTAGTAAAGGCCCAGAACATGTCTGTATATGAACAAAGTACCAGCTACAAAAAATTGCCATTTATGCAATGTTAAATCCCTCTAACAGTAAAAAATTACTTATATTTATAAAATATACTGACATTTACTCTGTATTAGCCAAAATGTTAATTATCCATTGTATACTATTGTAAAAAACAGCATTTATAAGGTATTATACCTCCGGTAATGATCCTTTGAGGTTGAAGCGGTAAATAAAAAAAAGAATTTAACCTACTACTTTATGAAATTATTTAAAGTAATTTCTGTAAAAACATATAAACCTAAATCTGTTTACATGAACGGAAAAATATAAAAAATATCTTTCAAATGAGGTATCACATGACCCTACTTTCCATTAGAAAATTTAAAGCTAGTAAGTCCCTCTATCTTACGTGTCTCAAGTAAAGTGCATCTCGTTATAACAAAAATATGTTCTCTTGAGTTTTACTTCGTTTTTGTTTTGTCATTATCTTTTTTCATTTAGAAGTTAAAATAGAGGAGGGTACAATTTTCGCCCTCACTGTATATAATACATTCTTTTGTATAACCTATTCTTAGACAGTTTTTCGAAAAAACTCTTCAAAAGTAACCTCAGAAAATCAGAATGGATTAAATATAAGAAATGATTGTATAAATTTTAAATAAATGAAATGATAAATATTTTTTCTTATAAATCACTATTTATACAATCCTAATAACACAAGTATCATTTGTTACCATTTAATATATATAGAATAGGTGTGTTATAGTTAAGTTTTTGACTATCTCGAAATCTAATATGTTAAAATTTTAAGTTAATTTTAAGTCTCGAATCTGTTTTCGAGAAAAAATGTCTCTCTCGTCTCGTTCACGAAGAGACGAGACAAGACGAGACGAGAGATGAGAATCTCTCGTCTCGCGGCATCACTAAATGCGGCCTTTGTTTAAATGGTTAACCTTTCAAATATGGTCAATACTGCTGCACTGTCAATATTGATAAACCAAAGTAAACCTGAAATTCTTCAGTTAAAACATTTTTTATTTCATTATCAGTTATGAATTCAAAAAAAGTGAATGGAAACTTTTATTAATATGCGAATATTTATCAATTTCTGTAACAGAAAAAATTGAGGAGAATTCCACATCATAACTCAAAAATTATGTTTAAAATCATCCATCTTATAGTCCTGCAACTGTGTAAATATGGACAAATTCACTCAGTTTACTGATTGCTATAAAAATACATGTAATTGAAATAACTACCTTACCATTTTTCAGTTAAACTATTATGTACAATTATCTTAAATATTAACAATGAACATCTATTAAATAATGCAGTGTATCATCTGCTATTTTGTTTCTTGATTAAGTATACAGAGACTCGAAAAATGTCGATGCAACCCTGACTTCAAGCCACCCCATAACAAACAGTGAACAATAATACTGATATTGATTAAAAATGTAGTGACCACCATTTCACAACCAGACAGTCCCGATAAATCATTTTTAAATAAACTAAAATATTTGACCTTTAATTCCTGTTTGTTATTAATATAATAATTTTTAAATCGTATTACCTACTATAAATTGAGCGTTATTAACATGGACTGAGTTTGGATGGCCAACCAAATCTAGAGTTAAATTGATATCATAGTTATTGTACTTCTAAGTATTTCTTATTTAGTTGTAAGTAAAATACTGATCTTAGAATAATTATTATAGACAATACTTCCAACATTGATCAATTTTCTTCCTATATTACAAAGTAGAAGCTTAGAAATGTAAGTACTCATTCCACTTACATTAAATTTTATCTCCATGTGATAAATAAACTTATAGATAAAAAATGCATGAGGTTATTTAAAATTCTATCTTTTTTGCGAAATTTACCAATTCTTTATCATCCAGTATAGTATCCTTACTTACTTAATATTTAAGATAAAGCTAAAATATACACAAACTTGTTGATCCTACATTTATAACTTCAAAACGAACAAAATAAACTTGACAGGCTAAGCTTGGGAGTAATTGGAAAAAACATCGGTCACTGTCGTCAAAGAGACGGAGCAACCGCGTTTATAGCTTGTAAAAATTTATATTCAGCACATCCAGAGTATTTTTATTTGGGTTTTATTTTTTTAGTAGAATGAATTGCCAGTATGAGGAAGAACAGAAGTAAGCTATAACACAATAATACGATGGAAGACGAGGTTGTCGATACTAAGAAAAATAAAACCTATAGGGGATAATTTCTGAAATAACCAGTAGAGGTATATATGTGTATGAGAATCGTCCATGGGCGTACCTAGGATTTATATTGAGAAAGGCGAAATTTCTTTAAAACTACATTGAATTTATAATACTGTCATGAAAATTCCCAAGCCGTCTCTGTCTAAAGCAAGCGACCTTCAGCTTGCCACCCGACTCATGCTTAAAATGACGGAATCTTCTAACCAGAACCACAGCATTGCACCCACAATCCGATGGAATGGTAGAGCGAATGAATAAGACCATTGGAAAATATATGTTAAAAGTGGTTTCAAACCATCAGCGAGATTGGGACCAGTATCTTTCGCTCTTTGCAATGGCTCATAGATCCGCTGTCAATGAATCAACACGCCAAACACCAGCAAAGGTCCTGTTTGGGCGTGAGATGAGACTACCGTGCAACCTTAAGTTTGGATGCCGACCTGGAGAAGATGTAGCTGGTGAGGATTATGTGATCCAGTTAAGAAGAAGAATGGACGATATGTATGAATTGGTCCGCTCGCATCTTCCAATCGCTAGCGACAGAATGAAGAAGCGATACGATACCCAAGCCACAGAAGGATGTTTCAAGGAAGGCGACAAAGTCTGGATACATAACCCAAAAAGACAAAAGGGTTTTTCTCCAAAGCTTTAAAGGTCTTGGGAAGGTCCGTACCTCATCAAGAAAAAAATCATTGATGTCATTTACCGTATAAGTAAGATCCCTAGCGGTAAACCAAAGGTAGTGCACCAAAACCGGCTGGCACCATTTGAGGGTGACCATGAAGAGGAAGAAGAAGTAAACCAGCTCCAAGGAACACCTGACCTTGTCTTTGAAGAATTTATGGGTGCATATGGACGTACCGGAAAAGCAAGACATGGTGTTACAACTGAGCAACAACAAGACCTGCTCACGGTTCCAAAAGACTACTCGCTGGTCAATAGCACTTCCGCCAACATCTATGACGCTCGAGATCTGACATCTGTATTCCGGAAGAAGTTTAGTTAATTGCCAGAACTTCAAGATCAGTTACCAGCCCCTGGAAAAGCATTAAAACTTCAAGATGGATCGCGTTTTTTTTTTTCTATTTGGTAACAGAGAACACTTTCCGAGATCGATCCACCTATCATGATGTATGTACAGAAACTAGCTATGCCAAGGATAGATAGCAACCAGCTGAATTGAAGGATCATTAGAAACATGGTGGAAGTAATCTTTCAAGATACCCAGGTTGAAATACTGGTCTGCAGCCATTCTCCCAGCGTTAAGGTTATAACGAAGACTGTTCCTTGGTACTGCCATGCAACTGGAAATTTTAAAAGAGATCCAGTCTAGAAAGTATTCTCCTCTGTAGCCATTTGCTGTAGGTTACTCTCCAAGTGTCAGGAATCGGAAAATTTATAAATGTTGAATTCATGAATGTGTTACAATTAAAAATGGTCGAAACTTATACAAGCATGCATATTTGTAGATACAGGTCTCTATACTGTCAATGCAAAACAGTTTTGGACCCAATTATATGAGAATTTGGCCATATGTGATAGGATACAATTTTAATCAACACCAGTAATCTTCATAGGAATGGAAAAATATTTTTTGTTTATTAGGGGATATCTTGGTTTAGTGATGAGATTTTTAGAATAAATAATAAAAACAAATCCTATTTATCATAATAGTCAGAGTTTTTAAAGCTAAATCATATTCGTCGAATTAATTTTTTAATTTTCCTTAATTATTTATCAATAATTCTCATTCAATCTTTATCAAACGTTGGATAATTAGCTGATTATTGATATTATTTATTCATATACCAATTATCCCATCACTAATTTAGCTAAAAATAAACTTTAACAAATATCTTTTTCTCAACCAACTGCAAGTAGAATTTCATTTATTTACAAATTAAATACGCTGATAGATAGCTACCTGGAACTTACTAGTTTTGGATCGAAGTTGGTGAAGTAACAAAATGTGTAAAAGTAGGAAATTATAATAAGTGCTAAAATATTGAACGAACTGTTAGACAATCCTGCGGAGCCTGTTTGCATTGCGGCCGGTCTCTCACCTGAAAACAAAAAAAATGTTGTAAAGAAGTATCACCGATCGGGTATTGGAAGCTTACTAAATTTATTTGGATTCGAGAAAATTGTAATTATGGGTATGGATAATATAAGATTTATAGAAAACCGTAGTACAGGAAAATTCGAAACATACATAGCCTTTCAACCTCTTCAATTAGCTTGCAAACTTTTTACTTATAATAATATTAACATATAAAATCAACTGAGCTTCTGTGGGATAGGGACGGCTGTGATTAATATTTGCCGTGGTGCTGCGGGGAAACTTAAAGATGATTCATGGTTGCGTTTGACTTACAGGTAAGAAAAACCCGTAAAACCTCACCCACCATCATCCAAACGGTAAGCAATGCTATTTGCAATCTTGATGCCATATCAACAGAAATTAAATTACTGCTAATACGCCACCTATTAAATCCTATAACGACCCATGTAAATTAATTAAAAATTCACATTGTCTGTTCTAGGATATGAAACCGTGTTCGGTAAGCCACTAAAAAACCCGTAAATTTACATACTGCGCTACCCGAGTCGATTGAATTTTTATTACTTTAAAATAGATGCTTTAAAACGAATATGAATCCAACTGTTTAACTAATAAGCTACTTTCATAAAATTCATTAGATTTTTCGAATTAATCCGCAATTTTATTTGCTAGGCGTTGAATTGGATAAATGAAAAAAGTGTAATCCTACATTTAAACAGCGTTAAAATGGCATAGGATTTCTGATAATCACCAAGGATTATGCAACATTTTGCCAATCTGAAACAATCAATCAATGGTTGAAACGGCATACCCGTAAGCCAACCGTCCGCCCTTGTTTTTCACTCTAATACCCGAGCTAATTGATTATCTATCGGATTCCGCCAAGATTTAACATTTTTTTCTTATCCAAGACAATGAAATAAATAAAATGTTCGAGATAATTCAAGTTTAACCACTCACCTAGTGATTTTTTTTAATACTGCAAATTTATTCAGTACTTGTAAGTTTATTTATGTTTAAAAACCCAAACAAGTTTGTCAACCTCTTTCTAAGGGTAGCAAGTCCATTAAATAATATTACGTAATTTCATGCAGAAATAATATAATAGTACATGGTCTGGTTAATTACTTTTTAAATTAAAAAAATCTGCTATATATTCATTAATTGCTTTATTAAACCTTTTAAGTGGCAGTGTCCAATCAATTTCTTTAATAGTGTTCATAACATTTGCTACCTTAATTTTCCAAACAAGAGCAGATATCTAGTACACCTAGAATAAACTTAGAAGAGATTTTTTTGCAGCAAGCTACTTGAAGTAGATACGTTATTTATTACTTTATACTAAAAAACATCGCAGCTCTACAAAAAAAAAATTGTTCTGTTGCCCTGGATATCTTTGCGAATTGCCAAAAAAAAATTAATTTTTACTTAAACCCTATATAAACATAAAGATATCAACTAAGAAAATTCTATTAAGTGAGCTAGTTTTTTTTTAAAGAGGTCAGTCCTTATGTTCTTAATGGTGCTAGGAAGCTCATTGTATTGTCTTAGACCATCAGATAGTATGATTCGATCACCAAAGCATGTTCTTACGGCTGTGGTTCTGAAACAGCGATTATTTTATATCTATGGATATCATAGGAAGTAATCAGTTGTATGGATGAGTGTATATTATTCAGGGATAGGTTATGAATAAAAATGCATGTCTGATATTTAGTGAGGGACTGAATGTCTAGAATATTATTTAGACGATACAATGGATCAGTAGGATGACAAAAAGGAAGTTGGAAAGCTTTTCTGATTGCTTTATTCTGTAGAATTTGCAAGGGTTTTTGTCTATTTTGGGAAGTTTTGCTCCAAATAAGAGTTAAATATGATAGATGTGAATAAATTAGTGAATGATACAGATTCTTCCTTAAGTCAGCTGAAAGGTAGCAGTCAACACGTCCCAATACTCCAATGGCCGGACTATTTTTTTACACAATTGAGCAATATGATTGTCTCAGTTGAGCTTGGAATCTATGTATAAGCTAAGATATTTAATGCACTCTGTCCTAGTCAACTGTTCATTGTCTATATTTATTTGGAATTGGTTCCATTCAGGCTATTTTGATATCACTAAAAAATTTGACTTTTCAGTATTCAGAGTTAATTTATGAAACTTTAACCACTCAAGAATTTGAATTAGATCTTGCTCTATAATATACTTTATTTCGTCTGTATCCTTTCCAAAATAGATGAGACAAACGTCGTCAGCATAAAGTTGTAAATAACCAGCTAATGGTAGCTGACCTATGGAGTTTATATAGATCAGGAATAACGTTGGTCCAAGAATTGACCCCTGGAGTAAACCATATTGTAGATCAGCCATTTCACTTGAGGTATTTCCATTACTTACAAACTGTGTACGACCATTGAAAGAATTTCTGAAGAAAGACAATGCATTTCCTGTTAGTCCATAGTCTTCCAAAATAGATAGTGATTAATAGTGTCAAATGCCTTCTTTAAATCAAGTGAAACAATGGTACATGCATTGCCTTCATCCACATGATGTCTGATGTTGGTAATCATATCTGTGACTGCCGACGTTGTGCTACTTCCACTACGAAAACCATACTGTCCCCTGTACCAAAAATTATTTTTTCAAAAAAGGAAACAAGCCTTTGATTAATACATTTTTCCAGGACTTTGGAGATAGAACTTAATAGAGATATCGGTCGGTAGTTATTAGTGGAAGTTCTTAGTCCTTCTTTAAATAATGGTAAAACTTTAGCTACTTTTAGTCCATTGGAAATTGAAGCATGAGTGAAAGTTAGGTTTATTAGGTTACTTAAGATAACCGACATTTCATTTTTGAAATGTTTGATCAAGTCCCAAGAGATACCATCAGCACCACATGCTTTTCTCGATTTTAACTTTGAAATTACTTTGTTGAGTTCTTGAGGGGTAGTTAACTCCTATTAATATAGTTGTTGACGGTTTATAACTGTAGGTTTCGTGTAAGTAGACTCCGGTATATTTTCTGCTAAGGCTTTACCTATTTCTGTAAAATGGGTGTTAAGAATATCTGCAATTTTCTTAGGAACTTCTATAGAGTCATTTTCTACTTGCAGTTTATTCACTGTGTTTTGTTGCTTTGATATTTTATTATGAATAAACAAGTTTAACACTGACCATATTTTTCTTGGATTACCTAGGGCACTTGTTAGCTGATTGTGATAATTTTTGCATTAGATATAGCTGCTTTCAAGATAGCTTGACTGTTCTTGTATTCAATATGAAGCAGAGCACTATTGGGAAAAAACTTGCCTTTTATAACACGTATCTCTGTGCTTGATTAGGTTATGCAAATGAAAAACCATGCACAACTTTTAGATCTAAAACGGTCTTTATATGTCGTACAGGTGGTATTGCTTTGGACTGTTTTCACTATTTGATCACACAAGACATTTGGATCCTGCCACACAGTGTTAATTATACCTTGAAGATCTCTTCTACATGCTAAACTATTTAACTTAAAACATTTATAATATTTTTTATTGCTAATTGAATTGCATTGTTTTTCTTGCAATATCTGTATTCTATGATCGCTTAAACAGTAATCAATAACAGCCAAATTACTGGAGTATCCATTATTTGACAAAACATAATCAATTAAAGTTCTTGAATTATTCTGCACTCTAGTTGGAATGCTATCATTTAAATTAATAAAATTTTGTGAATCAATTAGGCAATCAAGGTTTCTTTTGTACATATCATTTTTATCTAAACAGTTAATATTAAAGTCTCCCAAAATAAACGTTTTCTTTTTATGGTTATTGATATTTCCTAACGTTTCTTCTAAAACGTTTAAAAAAGTGTTTTTATTAAAATCTTGAAGTCTATATATAGCACCTATAGCAAAGTTCCTTTGTTCTAATCTTATAAATAGCATAGAACAGTTTTCACTCAACCTGTCAATTTCTGTGAAATTGTAGCCATCTTTTACTAGAATATAATCTGGCAAATGTTTTCCTCACCAGGAGAAAGCCACGACTCTGTAACAACAATTACATCAGGTAGATTGACAAGTTTACTAAGTGCTTCGATTTCATCTAACTTATTATGTACTGAGCGAGCGTTGAAATATAATATAGAAAAAACAGATTGATTTGCTTAATTTTTAAACTCATTAAGATTGTTATAAAATTTGGGACTTGTATTAGCCATTTTAATAAAGTTTTGTTCAACAGTCTGTAGTTAGTTTTTTGTTTACATTAGTTATTAATTCCACCTAGAAGATCTAAGTTTTCTTTCTTGTTTTTTCGAACTGAAGGTTCACCATCATGTTTTCTTATATACACTTTTCCATTTTTTGTCCACAAGAATTTATAACCATCATTCTTTTTTAATTTGTATGCCATGTTAAGTTCCTACTGGTGGTTGTAAGTTGTTCATTTATATAAATAGTAGATTCTTTGGTAGCCTTATTAATTGACTTGTTAACACTGAGTATTTTTGAGTCAATTTTACGACCTTTGCGACGGTCTAGGAACTTCTTTTTTATTTCCTGATTAGAGAATTTTGTAATTATAATTGGTCCTTTTTTGTTTCTTTGGTATAACATTTACAGATATCATTATTTAGAATATTACCTTGAAATAAACCATTAGCAATTTCTAGTACAACAGCTTTGAGGTCAGCCGAACTTTTAACTTGTGTACCATGTATCTTAACATTAAAGGCTATTTCCTTCATCTCCATTTCATTTATGCGTTCTTCAAGTTGATTCACCTTAATTATAAGACTCTAATTCTCGTTTTTAAGTGTTTGTAGTTCATTATGAACACTCTTATTTTCTTTGACTAAGTCATCAACTGCTTCTTGTAAGTCGCTCAGACTCTTCACCATCTCTGCAGATGACATATTTAGATCCTGTGGAGCAACACTGATACTGCCAACGTGCTTTCCAACTTTTTTAACCTCACTTTTTACACACTCTGGACATTTTATAGATCAATT